AGCGTTCTACTGCCCCCTGTCAAATGCAGCCTTTTGTGTACATTTCGCTGGCTTTGCTGCCATCTCGCTTTCATTCCAGTCCTATTTATTGCTGTATTTTGTTTTTCTATTTCGCCTTTTTTGTCACACACACGCGGGTCCTAGGCCAATTCGGATCGGTTCGAGATACGCTTAAAATTCCAGACACTCCTCGGAGTTGTTTCCAAATTGAAACTTGATTATGTACTCACAGACAGACGTATCTATACCCCTGCGGCGTTATCTTTGCATCCATAGTTCGGCGGCCCCGTCCGTTCTATTTCGACCCGCTTTATCGCGCTCCGTTGCATTGTAAATATTTTGCTTAGCCGCTTTGACACCAGCTGACACGCAAACGCCGTGGCAAAATATAAATAAGTCGCCGCTGCTGCTCTGATAAACTAAGCTCCCAGTGCACACAAACGTATACTATAAGGGCCCTCCTTTAAAGCCAATTTAAAAATGCGGGACTCGGACTTGTCCAAAATGAGGAGAGCTCACTTTTATGGCACAGTGGACATTTTTGGACCCTGCTCGCTGCATATTTAATATTTAGTATGCAGAGTTTTGAAGTATGTTCTCTCTTATCTGGCTTAAGTGTTTTGTCTGCTTGAAATAAAGTTATATTAAAAAGAAAGCAAAACTTAACTACTACTACAAAATAGCAAAATGAGTATCTTTACTTTAAAGAAAGATACGAATCGATTGAACAAATCAAAATATGATTTAAAACGAGTTTCATTTTTATAATCTGTGTGCAGTTCTAATAAATCAACGTTATAAGATCCAATGTACATCAAATAATTGTTCTAAAGAAAAGACTTTTTGTTTGGTTCAATTTTCAGATGTATTGAAGAAATGTTTAATGTTATTTTCAAAAGGTCGACCATAGAAATAGTTAAATTCCTAGAGAGCCGAAATTTCTTTGTAGCTTCCAATCTGAGCTTGAAAAAATACTTCCTCTATCGATACCCGCCGGAATTTAATATTGTCTTCCCCACTTATAGTCGGTTTGAATACAAATTCGCATTCTAGTGTCAGCTCAGTTTGCTCTGCTCTTGCCACGCTGACAGCTGCCTTTCAAATGCAAAATATATTAGCAGTTTTCCTATTTGAATTCCAGCTGGCCTCTTTATTTGTATCGATGGCACTGCATTTCGCCGATCAAGGACTTTGGACTCTGGCATAAACATTGGTGCTGGAAATGTGTTTTTAATGAAGCCTTTCGCCAGTCAGCTGGCCAGCCTAATAAAGAGTGAATGGCGGTGACCCCATCCCCGACCCATTCCACCTTTCCATCTAAGGACTCTTCGTCAGGTCGTCAAGCGGCCGTCAGAATTCTGGGATCTGCTTTTGTTCGCTTTCCCTCGCTTTTCCTCCGATTTTCCCCTTTCCGGGGCTTTTATGGGTTTCTGCCGTTTGCCACCGCTCCTTTTCCCTTTTCAATAAATCGCAAATGGCAATGTGTCCCCTTCGCGGAGCAGGGTCTCCAAAATAAGAAGGCGAATCCTTGACGGGCCAAGTTTATGCAAAGTAGCTTTTAATATGTTTACGACTAAACATTTTTCGGCTGCTGCCGGTTTCGCATCAGGTTAATGTCTACTCTTCGTCTCGGTTCACCCGTCAAACTCGACCTGCTCGTCCTTCTCGTCCTGCCAGTCCTTTCCCCTTTATTGCACAATTTTTTAATAATTCCTCCCTTTTAAAGGCAGAAATATTAAACTTTACTGCTGCGGCCGCACATTTCCCTGGCTGGCGCAGCCATTTGATTGTAATTTATTTCGCCGTAGCCGACTCAAAGTTGAAGTGGCTTTCACATTAAAATGGAGCGCCGGCGAAAATTAAATGTTAATGGAGTCGGATGTAGCCGCGCAAATATATATCTTGTACATTTTTAGGTACACAATCTACCCCCAAAAACGTTGACAGTTCCATTTCCATTTGCGAAACTTCCACGAATTTTGTTGTTTTTTGAAATTAATTAACATTTAAGCTGCTTAAAAGTTTCTGGGTCAGTGCCGAATTTAATATTAAGCAATTCTAGGGCTGGATGGAACGAGTCTTAGGCTAAGCAGTCGTGGCGACTTTGCCAGCAAGGAAGTCCTATTCTGTTGTTGAGTTTTTCTGGGCAGACCACGCGGCGTATGCGTAATTCGCAATTGTTTAATTTATGCCGCAGCACGTTGGCCGCTGAGCCCATTTGATGGCTGCAGGGGATTAATGCAGCTCACCGACTGACTCATAAAACCCGGCTCATTGCCGCAGCCGACGCCCAAATGTAGGCAATAAAAAATTTTAAACCCTAAATTATGCAGAGTGAGAGTAGGATGGCCTGGCCCAAGGGCCTGTGCATTAGATCTGGGACCCGAAAGGCAGGCAAAGTTTCAAACATTGTTCGCATAATATAGGAAAAGTTGCACATTAAGGGAGTCGGATGTCTGGCGGTATAAGGACGGTGCTGGAGAGCGGAACGTGCCACTTTGCCACTTGATGATGAATGAAACACCTCGGGCATGTGTGTGCCTCGTTGACTGTGGTTTATATTTCGGTAATAGCATGGGTTAAGGTCCCCACCGCTCCATGCTTTTTATGGGGCTCACTACTTTGAGCCACGGCTTCACTGGAAACGTTAATCTTATTTGCCAGGGGAGAACAAATGCACGGGAAAAAATTCGATTTGAAATCAATCCAGAATGACATCAATGATAAATAATAAATAGCAAACATTTTTTTTTATCCTGTTATTCTACAAATTTTTTCATAGCCCCAGTCGTAAATTAATATTATTTTGTCAAAAGTTTAGCTTGTTATATGGGAGAAGTGTTTATTGATTTAGATAAATAATATGTTCATTTACACTTTTTCTAGCTATTAAACCAACTTTATTGTTTTTGATTGGGTATTATAATAGTAAAACAAAGAATGCAGAATGTAAATATTTGTTTTAAAGTTAAAAGCAAAACTGATTTGATAAATGTTATGCTGCTGCAATAAAACCAAGTTTGCTTTTTGTCAATGAATGCAAATATGTAAATATTTTTTTAACATCCTCTAAAAGAGTTTACATTTTAGTGCAATAAAAACAAAGTATTGCCAAATCAACCGAAAATATCAATACCTTTTCGCTCAGTGCTCGTTGCGTGTGCGTAAATAAAAGTAACAAATGTCGCCGAGAAAAACTTAGCGCCAAAGGCGCATATTTTGTCTACTAAAACATGCCGGGGATTTGCCCAACTCGGAGTAAAATTGAGCCAAGAAACAGTGTTCGGGATCTTGTATGAGTGTGTGGTCGGGGGCGAGTGTGTGTTGGCCAAGTTTTGGTGCGTGAATTGAATGCAAAACTCGAAAGTTAAATATTGCACGCTCGGTAGGCAGGCGGCTGTGCTTATTTTTTGTCAGTCTCTTAAATTTAATTAAAGAGACAGCCGGAGCAAATACGATTACATCACAGAAAACTTTCAACTTGTGCGCCAAAGGAACCGAGAACTGCCAAAAGTGATTTGCACAGTTTGAAGGATTAGCAGGAGCGGCTTAGGGGCCGCATCCTTGCGCCTCGGCCTGCTCGAAAATCTGGATCTCCGCCTGCAGCTGTCACTGGCTCACATAAATCTAAACATTCTGATGTTCTACACGCTGGCTGGCATGTCAAAAGCCGCCCGCAGCCTGCGACTCAGGTGAGTGACTACCTGTCCAACCTGCCCCTCCCCCAACCCTCCCCTTTTTCCCCTCCCAACTCTGATCCTGGCAGGTGGATGGCACTGGATGAGGGGCAGACTACCTGCGAGCTCTGGAACAACATATCTTTGCATACTTGATGGCGCATAATGGTGCAAAAAATTGTTTACATGCATAGGGCAACACAAAATGTTTTGCATTTACATAATTTTTGACTTTTCAAGTCGCAGCGCATTTTACGTAATTTCTCCATGTTGGCTTGTGCAATTTTGTGAACCGAGTGAGTAATGGAAAATTTCGTGGAATGAATTATGCCGCCGCGGCTGCCAATCAAATATGCATGGAAATGTTCCCGGCCAAATTAAATACATCCACAGCTAGACAATATTAGAACAATATCATAAAGGCCATCGGAATCGTAAAATTCGGCAAAAACATTTTAAGCTCGTTTAATTAGCTCAAATCATTGTGCCGCAAATATGTAAAAGCACGAAGCTTTTATTGCAAAATGTTTACTTTTTCATTTTCTAATTCGCCAAAAATTGTATGCTTTTTGCTCAACTGATATATTTATATATTTATTATAAATGATAAAACAGATTACGAACTAAAGTTGACTAGATGTGATATCTAAGGACATATGTGGACGAATACTTTAAATTGAAGTTTTCATTTCGTAAGGTTCTGCTTTCTACTTGTTAAAGTAGCCTTAAATATTTTGAAAACTTTTTATGAAAAACCTTTGGCGCAATATTTAAATTTAAATTAAAATTAAAATTTAAATTTATTTAAATATCATTGAAATTTCTTACATCTTTGTTGATTAAACTCGCGAAGTAGCTTCACTAATTTATTTATTTACCCTTTTGCCACATTAAAACTTTTATTATATTAGGCCTAATAGATTTTTCACTAATTCTTTTTTATTACTAGCTTGGCAACATCTTAATACGTTTTTTTTATTTTACACCAAATTAAACATTACCCGTAAATTGGTTTACACCTAATTAAACACGGACATACATGTAAGTACTAATATGCAAACTTATTAAATTTTTATTTTTTTAATTTGTTAGCTGTCAGGCACTTGAATATCAAAATGAATTTTCTAGCCTTTGCTTTAAAAATATATTGCGATAAATTTTCTTTTGTTGCTTTCTGTGTGTTTTTAAAAGTTTTTCATATATGCAGCTTCATGTTGTTCTTTTAAAATGTTTTATATTCTTTTTAAGACATGTACATTTTCATATTTTTAGTTATTGCCACTTTTAAATTTTTTCTTTTTTTTTAAAGTTTCAATTACTTACGTATTTATTTAAAAAGTCATTTAACGCTGGTCTTTCAGTTTTCCTTTATGCTACTTTTTGTGCAGTTTTCGATGGCCTTTGCTGGCACCGCCATTAATTGAAAATGCCGCCAAAACTTTGTTTGCACCAAGCTCATGCTTCACACGCGCGCTGATAAGAGCGTTTAAAGTTGGCCAACACGCACACACCCGCAGCGGCCGCGCACACAGGGACACCAACACTGGTATACTGGTACTGATTGGGCTAACACAGGAGTGGCAGCAACAGTAGTGGCAAACGCGGGTCGGAGCTGGATGCCAGTGGCAAGATGCGAAAGTACGTCCAGTTGCGCGCTGTGCCATCGACAAACTGATGATAAACGAAAACTGTTTATCAGCAGCAAGCGTCCGCTGCCGCCGTCGGCAGAGGCAGAGGCAGTGGTCGCGGCAGCGGCAGCGGCAGCGGCGGTAGCTGCGGCAGCGACTACGTCATAGCCAAGGCAGCGGCAGCGCCCGAAGGCCTCCTCGTTGGTTCCTGGCCAACACGAAGTCCCGTTGCTGCGCTCTCTTAGCCCAGTGGAGAGTTTCGCTCTGCCGAAGAGCGGCCCGCTCGTAACTCTCCCGCTCTTTCGGCCGCCTTATCAGTTGTTGGGATAGGCTCGTCGGCCAACTGATAGGCGCTTTTGGCCCTGTACGACAGGTACTTTTTCACCCCGTTTCCAAAATGTTTAAGTCCTTGGTATTTTCAAAATGTTATCAGGATTTTAGGTCTGATATCCCATACAGGTAAAGGACTTTTTTTATTCCGAATTCTGAACCCTTGATTAAACCGAATTTGTATAGTCAAGATGTGTAAAGTTTTTAGGTTACCAGGATACCAACTGGAGTTTTTGAAATTATAAATATGTGTGCCTAAAAGTAGGCAACAAAATTCAGCTGTTATTTTACCCACTTATTTATAAAATGTGTAACAAATAAATGTTTAAAAAAGTATAATCCTTTATTTATTATGAAAACCTTAAAAACATTAAACCAAGTTTATAGAGTTTGAAGAGTATATGTATGTTTAAAAACAAGCTTGAAAAATAATGCCGATCTCAAACCTCTATTTGTCAAGATAAAAATTCAAGTTATAGATACTTCGAGTTTGAAAAAAATGTTTACCTAGTTCTTACTGTATTATTTTCTTTAAACAATGCTCTTTTGCTACAGTAAGTTGAAGGTTAAATACGCAATCGATACGTTGTCTTAAACAATTATAAAGTACAGTATGAATTCCTCGAATCGTCCGATTCCTAAGAACCCGAACCAATTACTACCATTAGGGTAAGCCATTTGTAAGAAAGCAAACAGCTTTTTGTGGAGCGCAAATACAAAGTTTTCCTGGAAAAACTCGTCTTACATTTCGTATCAGTTATCATGAAAATCGAGTTGAGAAGGGTAGTCCTACGGAAACTGAATTTTTTAAAAAGGGGATGATAAGGAAGGATTTTTTTGAAATAGAAGCAATTCGAGGTAAAAAACTTCCAGTAATGGAAGTTGAATTGCATACAATATTGAACACTTCAGCTTGAGAAATCTGGCTACAACTACAAAAAACCTGTCTACATTTATTTTCTTATGTGCCGCTGTGTCACATATGTTTATAGTAGAACATACTATAAATAAAGGCAATAAAATTGCACAAGCTCAAAGAATCCCTAAATGCTGGCATAAATGATGGCCATTAAAATCCAGAAATCCAGAAATAGAGCAGAATACATAAATAAACTTAACTTGTCTATTCCGTAAAATGGAATTGTGTTAGTGAATTTTAAACAAACACTGTCTAATTAAGTTGAACGCCATCCACAGACTTTGGCACTGTGTTTTACTTCCGTTTTAGTTGCGCTGCTCCGCAGTTTTCCCTCCTCTTTCCAGTGAGCTAATGGCCAATAACTAATTCATAATTATGCATTTCCCATTTTTTGCTTTTATCTTTCGCTTCGTTTATTTGGCACTTCCTTGCCTTTCCGCTCGGTTCCCGCAAAGCTGGCCAAAATGTTCAACGCGGAGAAGAAAAATAGTTTATATTTTTCGAGAGCATGCTCCCTGTCCGCCGCTGATGATTAATCAATTATGGGCAACTGTCAGAATCGCAAACAGAAACTGCGAAAAAAAGTAATCAAAATTTCAGCGCCGGCAGATCCAATAACAAATCGAGGGCCAAAGCAAATAATGAATTTATTTGCCGCTTTTCATCTGTTCGATATCAAACGTCCGCCTTAAAAAGGCTTTGACATGAATGGAGCGAGACAGCATGTTGGCCTGAAAGAGAGGGACAGAGAGGGCAGGTGATGGAAGCCGCCATCGACCATTTAAAATATGCATAATCACCTGTCTTGTGTCTGCCGGGGGCAAAGAGCCGTTTGCGAAAATTTAATTTGTAGCCATTTGCTGCACTGACAGTGACGATGGCTGGCAGTAATAAATACGGAAAAGCTCTGCGGAAAATATGCACAGTGTGTTGGAGGGAAAAGCGGCGAGGGGAGGTCGTTTTAAAAGACAAATTAAAATGCACTTAGCGCACACCTAAAAACCAGGGAGAAAAAAGGCCACAAAGTTGGCAGCCAACTTTCTCAACCTGCCTGCGGTCATTGCGAGGGGTGGGAAAATATGGAAAAACGACAGGAGTGGGTTACGTGACCGCTTAAACGTTGTCCCGGCAACAACTTGACATATTTTCTTATTGAGTTTAGCAAGCAGAGTCGGGTTTTTGTGCCCCAACTTGGGGAGTGCCCTTGTGACAATCTGATAATCTTTGCCGAGGAGAGAACACCTGGAAAAACTCATTAGCTCGCAGGGAAATGGGAAAGACCACTTTGAACCCTAAATTCTCATTGTGTGAACATTAACAATAATCATTTCCAATAAACAATAAAGCTTATCTCCTCCTTGAAGACAACTTTACTTTATTCGCATTTAAATGTTTCGCCACTGTCTCCACTGAAATTGGTTGGTGGATGGGGGGAAAGTAAGCCAGTCAATGGCATTATTCTGCCCGGCTTTGTCGCTGGGTACAGTAAATAATGCTTAGGAGTTGGCCACCCCACACTGATGATCCTTGTTTATGCATGCAAATCGTGAGAGTTTTCCCGATTCGGAATGCCGAACATAACCATCAAGTATGATTTCTTCAATATGCACTCGGTGATATAGCAAATTGCGTATCTCGTAGGCATTAGCCACTGTGCTCGGTAATTGCCTTGGAAAATTGAATTTCCACGGAGACAACGTCGGCTTGACAACACTGTGGTCATCTGGCAGATGCTGCCTGCTTTCCCCTCTGGAAGGCACTGGCTCCCATCCCGGCATTAGGATTAATCAGTAGACTTGACATTTAATTGTTGCTCTCACTGGAGACGAAAGGGGCAACGGGGTCAGCTGAGTGCCTGGCCGGCAGTCCATCATTTGCCGGGTCCATGGGCGGGGCCAGAATCAATTCGTGGGCGGAGGGACTTGTTGGAAATGGTTTAGGGCACTGTTGCCATAATGTATCAGCAAGGAAAACTGTTTACAGAGTTCCACTACAATACGTTAGTTTGATAACTGTGCCATTTGAGTTGATACTTGCGATGGAAATAATTATTTCAATTCACATTCCTCTTATAGACCTTCAATTTATAATTTTCTGTTGGCAAACATTATCAATTAGGCTAAGCCAAAGCAACACATATGTGTATAAAAATGTCATAAAGTGAATTATCTGTTTAAAAGGTAAGATTTATTGATAAAACGCGATAATATTGTTTAATAGGTTTGTGTTTTGCTCTCTTCTTCTTTTTCGATGAGTTTTGAATATTGCGGTCCCCCTCTAACGCAGAGGAATTTTAGGAGCTATCTCACTTTTATTATATTTTTCAATTTTAGAGAATTGATAAAATGAGTGAGATTTAATAAATTTAACCATGAGAATAACAAATTGATCGTTAAGAGATTTTGTTCTGTATGGAGCTAAATATCGATAATATCGATACCATCAAAAATTGTTTAGCATAAGTAAAAAGTAAAGAAAATGAAAATTAGGAAAACGAAAATACAGCTCTTGTTAAGGAATCATATTGAAAAACACTCCCTTATTTAAAATTTGTTGCTTTGCTCTGACCATCGATGTTTGCTGAAAATCAACACCTTCGATAGTATCGATAGTGCTGGATTGACCAACCCTACTTTGTATAGTGATACCTTACATTTAAATATATATCATATCGTTTCACCTACATTTTACTGCAATTAAATTAAAACTAAGCTAAACATTGAGCCTAAACGTTTAAAATCCGGCTCTGGTATAAGAATCATTTTTTTGTTTGGCCCTAACCATGGATTTTTTACGAACTTTAAAAGCATCGATAGTATCGATAGTGCTATCGATGGATTGACCAACCTTATTTTATATAGTGGTACCTTACATTTTTGTATACATCATATCATCTTATTTATATGACTTTTACTAATTTTGACTGAATCTTTCATAAAAGAATATAACTTTCCCAAGCCCAAAAATACCCCCACTGACCTACAATTTTCTCTCAGTGTCCATGTGTGCCTTTCGAAATCGGTCGCAGGATGGGCTGGTATTTGGCATAGACCTTTAAATGCATTCTGTGTGCGCATGTTAATTGCATGGGATTGGGGCAACGACAGCAGCCCGCAGCAACATCTTTCAATTTGTCTTTTACAATGTGATTTATATGCTAACAGGGAGTGGCCAATTTGTTGTAGTGGCAGTTCGAGTTGTTGCCTCAAGTTGAAGGCATTTTTTGTGTGTGTTGCCCGTCGGTTTTGTTTTGTTGCCTTCTGTGTGTTTTTTTCTATGTGTGCAATGGCAGGAGTGTTTGTTCGACTGCTGCGTGTGCATGCAAATGACTTGTCAGCTGACAACGGCAACAAGCAAAATTGCTGACCGTGTAGCAGAGTGTATGTGCGGGTGTGCGGGTGTGCGGGTGTGCGAGTGTGCGAGTGTGGATGGGTCTCTGTGGGCAGTGTGTATCTTGCCAGACCAAAAATTTGCACATAAAGTATCCCGGGCAGCAAAGTTTTCGCTTGTAAAACTTGCACGCAACAAGAAGGCGGCCCACCCAACTTTCCTCTGTTTTTGCGGTTTCACTTGCAAGTGCGTTGGAATATTTTTGACTTAGGAAACGAGCAAACAATAGCAACAACACGACTCAATTACACACGCAGTAGGACCAAAGACCCTTTAAAGGACACTCCGTGTCCCCCCATTCGAGCCATAATTTCACACTACGCCTCGCCGACTCTGTTGTTGACAATTTAAATAGACTTTTCTTGCATTTAAGCCGCTTTGATGTATGCTCGCTCCTTGTTGGCACCGTCGTTTATTGATTTTCGCCATTTCGCAGCGCCTGCATCGCTCAGCGTTTTATCGACACTCTGCCAAGCGAAATAATCAACATTTTTCCAGCCATTTTCCGTGTCACTCGGCTCTGTCCCTCTGCCCAGGTGTGTTTTGTGGTGTGCGTGCGGTCGGTTTGCAATTGAAGGTGACACGGAAATTTGCATAATTCTGTTGTCACATGTCGCATACGCCATGTATGATAGCCGCAAAAGGCAATCGAGAGAAAATACTCGTTTTTTGCGAAGCAAACTTGAAAGCTCAACGTCTGACTTAAACCATTTAAATGCGGTTCGGTTTTTATTTTATGAAAATGAATTAAGTGTGCTAATGAATACAAATAAGATAATCAATTTATTCGATTGAAGATTGTTTATTAGGCCTTGGTGTTGAATCAAGCATCAGGAACAACAATTAAATTTTTCACTGTCAATTAATCAGTTTTTTATAAAATAACACTAAATAATAATTAAATGTACACCACATTTTTATTATATAAACAAAAAGAAGGAAAACAGAAATAGTTTTAAATGACTTCATAAATCTGATACTATTTGTGGACGATTAAAAGAAACAGATAGCAGTGCTTAAATGGTTTTTATAAGTTATACAAACAATGTACACAGCAAATGCCGCCACTGAAATTAAATAACACTATTCATTTCCATCAGAAACGGACAATTACTGAAATAATTTCGTTTAAGCACCAACTGCCTAATTTATTGCCATTTAAATTACAGTCATCGAATGGCAATAAACCACTTTTAATACGCCAAAATAGTTACGTAAAGTGATTTTCGTTTAAATCTGATACTATTAGAGTGGGTTTAAGAGCGTATAAAAATGATTTTGCAATTTATACTCTCGAGTTTATTCGCGGGAAACTTCCCTTTCAGCCTGTTCATCTCGTTTGCAAAAATGTATGTCTATCCATGGGTAGATACTCGATGCCAAACACCCCGATACACCCCTACTTTAAAGGCATTTTAAAGCCGATCTCCCCCCGAACTAGCCCACTCATTTGACTTTTGCTGACTCAACAGTTCAATTGAATTTTATGTTGTTGCTCGCCGCCTTTGACTATGAAATCTAGATTACAACTTTTGGCAACAACTTGTGGCGAACGCAATTACAAGCTGCCAAATGACAGCCATAACATTAACAACAAAAACACCGACTGCCTGGCAGACAGGATGACTGACAGAAGCGCCTCTGAAGCGATGTCCTGGCAACGCTCGTCTTTGTCGTCCTCATAATGAAGCCATAAATTTCAAAAGCAAAGAGATTAGCGAAAGTGGTGGCCGCCTGCCTTCGCCGCGAATGCTGGCAAGTGTGTATTTGTTTGTACTGCCCAAATTTTAAAGCCATCTATTCGAATGTCAACTTAAAGCTGAAGTGGAGCTTGTACGGAAAGTATGGCAAAAGTTAATGCACTTGCAACGCTGACAGGACCTTGGAGTTGAGTTGAGTTGAGATGGGTTGAGTGGAATGGCTGATGCAAGCATTTATTATTTACACTTGTAAATAAATATATATGTGCGAGTGTTTATGTTGGAGGGGGCCTGGTCACTTAGCAGCGGGAATTGCACATACATTCGCATTTACACTCCAGTTAACACCCCAGGGACATTGGCAGTGCCACTGAGTACACAGGGAAAAGTAAGTCCGTGAATATTTGCTTGACACTCAATTTAAATACCGACATTATTGTAATACAACTTTATGAAAGCAAGATTGCGTGTGCTTTAAAATAATGGAAAACTATAAAAGTAAGGTACAAGTATTTCTTTGATCTCAAATGAAAACATTAATTTTGAAAACTATAAAAAACATACAATTTTTCTTTATTTACCTAGTTATCACCACAGCCGTGTGTTTTTAATGTTCCAACAATTTAAATTTTACTTTTATATGGTACACTAATATCACGGACCGAAAATTATCATTTGTGATTTTTATTTTGGCTGCTTTTCAAACACATTGTGAAATATTGTGAACTCTGTTTTCCAATAGTACAATTTTTTAAAACGTGTTATTTTTAATACTTATACGGAGAAATCACAGCAGTCTTCAAAAAATAAATCACTAAAAAATGATTATTTTTTTATTATTCATCAACAATTTGTGTGTTCTATGATTGATGTGAATACTATGCCTAAAGTTTGTTATTTGTAAATAAAAAGTGTTATTCTTAACACTTATAAGAAAAAACCACCGCATTTGTTTCATCTCGTAGGCTATTTGATTGATGTGAGTACTGGCCTAAAATCTGTTATTTAATTTTTATAAGTTTGATGTCTTATACTCATTTTATTTTTTCTAAATGCATCTTGATGCCGAAGGAGCTACGCAATTTTACGAATGCTGCGTTGCACTTTTGCGCTTCGCACATGTAGATGTACTGGCACTCTCGAGCAGTTTATATAGATTATATACATGGATTTGTGAAGCAAATTTGTATTTATGCTGATGGCCGGGCACCCATGACACTCGCTTTTTCAGTGGGCTGTCTCTTCCTGGTCTCCTGACTCCTGGCTCCTGATTCCTGATTCCTGACTCCCAGCACATTATGTGCCCCATTTAATGTCTATGTGCTGCACACACACACTGCACGCACACTCGCACATACTCTCGCACACACTTACACGCCCAGTGAACGTCAAGTGGCGATTTACATTAGTTTTATTGTATACGAAATTAGCAGCGTTTAGCATTTGGCATTTAGCAGTCGCTGTAGCAGCCGGCAAAACTTTTGCTTTCGGCCCCATTCACCTCCATCCACATATACATACTCGGTCCCATCCTCATCCTCATCCTTATCCGCAGCCAAGGGCTTGTATGTTAGATTTGTTTGCTCGTACGGCTGCACTGTCGCACTCGGCATATCAATTTTCCGCCCACCCACCTCCCCTCAGGACATTTCAAGGTAGGAAATCGATTTTGTTAATGAAAACGAAGGAAAACTTCAGGGGAAAAGGAAACCCTGGGGATCGGGTGCCGATTGAAGCGAAAGTTTGATATTTGTTGGGGGAAACAATGGCCAATCTGCGTGATAATGGCATTCCCTAAGGTTTGTTGTGCAGTCTCCCAGCTTTACTTTTCCTGTCAAGGTTATATTTTCGATTTGCCTGAATGTATGCAACTATGGTCGGATAAGCTGCTCATGCAAATTTAAAAATTTCTATCTGGTGTGCTTTGAATTATCTTTAAAAAGCCATTTTAGTCGCCTAGAAGTATGCAACAATTTATTTAAGCTCAGAAGTTCAATGAAATCATTCCTAGATTTCTTTATTTACTGTTAGGCACCTAACATATCATTTAAAACAGATTTCAAACATCTAGTGGTTTGGATGGCACACCCATATTTCCAAGCATGTTTTCCCCATTTTAAAAATATCTTTTGGTTGTGTATTTAGTTTTTATTGTTGTTTTCTATGTTCTCAAGAAAGTCGGCCATTAAAGTCTTGTAAATTCTAACTTTAACAAATATATGTAAACAGTTTCAGGCAGACTTTCCCGGTTAGTTAAAGAAAAAAGTAATATGAAACAAGAAACCTAAAATTTTTAAGAAACGGAGGATGCTGTAAAACATTCTGTGTCCCACCTAGATCTAGACCAGATGGCACTCGTTGACCAGGACGACATCATCCTCGACCATCTCGCCGTTGCGATTGGCGTGGTGCTCGTGGTGGATGGGACAGCTGACGACTAGCTCCTCCTTGGGCTCCATCTTCTGGGCCTCCTTCTTAGCCTTCTTGGCCGCTCCCTTGTCCTTGCCGCCCTTCAGCTTCTCCTTCTCCAGCTCCAGCTCCAGTTCCAGGTGATCCCCCAGCAGGTGATCAATGACATCGGGATTGTTGCGCAAAGCCAGATCCATGGCGCCATCAAGGAACTGATAAAGGGGCGAACTAATGCGGTGTGGTGGCTCCTTCGGCGGTTCCACCAAGACGTTTCCCTCGAAAGTGGGCTGCAACAGCTGCTGCAGCATGTAGAGCATCGGTGGCAAAGCCTGAGAGGATTTGTGCTTGCGGTGGTGCTTCAAAGGAGCCGAGTTATGGAGGCCGCGTGGGGTGTTCTCGGCCGCATTCAGGAGCAGCACTCCGGCCAATTCCGGTGGCAGAAGTTCCGGGCCGTAGTTGAGCTCCTGCTGCACACTCTCAATCATCATGTTGGGGGCCAGCAGCTCGAACTCCTTCACCTCGTGCTTGCCATCCGGCGATACCAGCTTGTTGTAGTACACATAGGGATTGGGTGGGCGTGTGGGCAGCGAGGTGGTCACAGTAGCCTCCCCCGACTGGCGACGCTTGTGGTGCAGCTGTCGTGGCTGCAGGCCCTCGTCCATCAGGCCACCCAAGCGCCTCTTGGGACGCCGCAGCCCCATCAGATCCTCCACCAGCTGGAATTTCCCAGCATCCGAGGGCGAGGATGTGGATGTGGATGTGGAAGCCATGGCAGCCAGCGCCGATGGGGTGGTAGTGCCATCCGTGGCTTTTCCTTGATCCACCGTAGTGTGCTTGGCTCCAGGTGCAACTCTCTGCTTTGAAGATGTGGTTGCAGTGCTGCCAGCAGTGGTCACAGTGCTATTGGCCACCAAGGTGGCCTTTCCATTCAGAGAAGCATCGTTGTCCATGACAGTGGTTGCATTATTATCACCTGCAGCATCGCCCTGGGAACGCTTCATCCGCAGGCAGTCACCCGACATGGGTCCCATCACCATCATCATCATCAAAGCACCTAAGCCAAGCCATTCACAGTTAATTTAAAGAATTATATATCGAGATATTCCCTTTGTCTGCAGCTAAGCAACCCCAGATACTCACAGCCAAGGATCAGGTAATAGTTCATCTTGTATTGCTTGATAGATAGCGCTGTGAAAGACAGACGGGTTGAAAACGTTAACCGAAAATTGACCACAATTATTTTATGTAGAACTTTTGTTCGTGTTTTTTTTCCCGACGAAATAGCCACTATTTGAACTTACTTTATTTGATTGGAGTGGGTTCTACGTGTGCTCGACACAAAGTTTGTACTGAAAATGATTCGAAATGCTTCCTGCCTCATGGCGAGGCTTTGACAGACAGCTGGGGAGCTGGTAAAAGGTTACTGAGAGCCCGAAAAAATCGAATTTCAATATTTTTGTGATGGGATTTTTCCATACAGCCCCCCCTCAGACAAACCCATCTGCGGCGACCTTTTCAAGTGCTGCAAATGGCAGCAACAGCAACAAAAAAAAACAAAAAAAAAACCGCGCTCACACAAAAAGTTTGTTTCGTGAGCCGCAAACAAAAGCAAACAGTGGAAAAAGTTTAGCTTATAAATTTCCAATCAATTTTTCGTGCAAAAATCAAGCGCACTCACACTCACACACATGGGCACACACTCAAGTGCTCATATAGCCCGTGCGAGTGTGTGAGTAGCTATTACTTGATTAATAAATATTAGCAGCAAAAATTGGAAAATTCTCAGCGAAGCGTAAAAATGCAAACACCCAAACGGAAATGCGATACATTTGCGAAATGGCAGGAGCATTTTCAAAAACACCAATGCCTCCCACTCACACAGGCCTACGACTACCCATTTACTCGGCCTAATTTTGATACCCTTTGCCATAGAATCTATAGAGATATCAATTGCTGATATTTATAAATAATTTTACCCAATAATTTAGAATCTGTTCAATGTAGAATCTGTGGCTATCTAAGTTTAGTCCGACATTATTAAATCAAAGTTTCTCACGTTCAGGTTAAAGAGAACACTCATAAGTTTAAGGACAAATTTTTGTTGTTTTCAGTTGTGCTACATATTCTTATTTATTAAAATAAAATTCAAATTCTCGACCGAATTTTTAAAAAATATTAAAATTAAGACTTGAAAATCAAATAAATTAAATATTGTTGGTTACTTTATCTTATTTATTATTATATTTTATTTATTATTATATTTATTATGTTATGTTATATATCTTATGTTGATATATATAGTATTTATATATGTTTATGTGCAACACGGCATGCTAATTCTTTTTTCCTGCACTGATTAAACTCTTAGGCAACATTTATTGTTTCTAAAATATCTAAGGTACATCCCTTTCTTAAAGTATATATTTGTTTGCACTTAAGAGGGGTATTTACACCTCGAATCGCCTGTGTTTAGACTGAAACTTGTACTTCTTCTGCTGCCGTCGGCTGGAGGCATTAATAATGTAAAGTGCGTGCGTCAAATGTAAATTCCCTGCTGCCAACGCATGCGATTCCATAAACTTGCGACATTTTCAACAAACAATTCTCATCGCCGTCGCCGTGTCTTCGATACGAGTATGTGCGTCCTTCAAGGCGACTTAACGCTCAGGTGGAGGGGTTTTTTCGGGGCGGGAAATCAAGGGGACCCCGGGGAGAAGGCACTTTTGCTTATCAGCTTAAATGTAAATGCCAAGCGAATGCAGCTGAGGGGGCGGAGGGGCGCCTGGGGGCGTGGCTCAGCAGCAGCTGTTGCTGCATTGGGGATTTGCACATTTATACCCGAATATTGCGCTCCTTTTTTAGTTTTCCTTTTTTATCTGGCCAAGTTGATTTTTCGAGTGTATTGAATAAAAGTCGATTTTCCCCCACTGGATTTGTGCGCGTTCGACAAGCGGCTTAAATGCGTACAGTTAATACTCATATCCCTTTTGCATATGTCTGGGTGTCGGGGGCTCAGGCTTGAGTGGGTGTGCGAGTTTGGCTTTGATGTGCGATGTTGACTGCGATGTGTGCCATGGGTTAAGGTCGCGGCTTATTAGGGGTCCAAGTCCTCCGCCGCAGTGCATCATCTCGGCGGGATTTGCACGCAGACAGTGCCGCGCCTCCCAGGGCGATCCGCCATAATTGGTACCCAAAAATCACGCATACGCCGGGTGGGTCAAGTGGAGAGGGTCTGCCTAGCTGTGGCTTTGATCTCGGCCGGAATCACAGAGGGAGACTCTTATTAAATGTTTCCCTTTCGATTCGTTTTGGCTTTGTAAACTTTCATTAGTTGCCTCGTTAATATTCCAATTGTTGACACACAAAGGCGGGCGGAGGTGGCTGGCTGGTTGGCTGGTTGGCTTAACCTGTGTATAAAGGAATTTAATTAATAACGTCCTTCGTCCTTTTGCGTGTGCAGCGCGGCGTAAACTTAATTAAATGCGCAAGTGGCAAGTAGCAGGGGCAAGTAGCGGGGGCAAGTGGCAGGGGCACAGTGGCAAATGGCAAGTGGAGATGCAGCATCACCTCGAGAAACCCAGGTGCAAAGGTTGAACTTAACACCTAGCCTGGCTGGTGGTGCAAAACGAAAAGAAAACTCTGCCCACACATGCCAAAAATTTTATTGGCCCAAACCCTGCTTTTACGGCCACTGTTAATAGTGAAAAATGGTGCAACAAAAGGCGAAACGATGGCAGACGCTTAGGCAAAACCAGATGGAAATGGGAAATGGGATGGTGGCAAGTTCATAAGATGGCCATAAAACAGCGAGTTGTGGCTCAGCGACTTTAACGCGTTTCCATGTTTACGAGTTTAGTGCGCCTGCTTTATAACCTGTAACTGGGGGCGAAGTTTATTAAGTTTATACCAAGTGCATCAAATATGCAAAACCGCTAAAGTTGATCATCTTGGATGCTCGACGGATTCGAGGGTTTGACGTAGACATCTCTTAGCAGAATCGCTGGTTATTGCTATTGGTCGGGTTGGCAATCACTCAATGGTGATTTTATGAAAGTCACAATTTCAGTTGTTGCTGTGGTAAAATTTTTAGGTTCCTCTGAGTTGGTGGGTCATAAAACGAGTACACTTTTGATACGAAAAAATAATTTCTAGGGACTTAACGATATCATTTCTCATTGATATAGAATTTATAAATTAAAAACATCAAATTTTATTTCATGCTTAAACCATGTATGAAATTCAGGCGCCAATTTAGGTACCTTTTACCTTAACTAGGTATGGTTATATGTTTCGTTTTAAAATTGCAACAGAGCTAAAGCAGAATTAAGAGTAAAATTGGGTCACATTTATTTAAACGGCTGTTTTGCGGATAGCTCTAAACATAGCATTTTTTAGGAATTTACAAATGAAACTTTGTGAAACTTTAATATTTACTAAATATCACAAATATTGGAATAAATACATATGTACAAATTAAAAATACTCAATTTGTACTTCATTTTCGGTATATGTATACTTAAATATTATTATTAATTTAATTCTCATATGTGTATTTGATTAAATAGTTTTTATCGACTGCCGAGTACAATCGATTGCCAATTTTAACGTCGCTGAAAACCAAAATTTAACAACACTGCCTAAAAGAATAACATGAACCTCCTTACGTTGGTCAATACTAAAATTCAAATTTCAGGCGCAATTATGTTACCGGCATAACACTGCAAAGCTAATATAAACAAAATGTAATCTATTTAACCATGGATTTTGTTCAAATATGGCTTGTTTGGTTTGTTTGGACAGTAACTTTCAGATGGTACATGTTTTCGTTTTTCCAAGTTTTTACTATATCAACAGATACCTTACAGTCACTTAATTTTTAAAAAATTTAACATTTTAAAATTTTTCGATTTGTAGCTCACAATATACTCATTTTAGCCTATTCATTTATTCGGCAAAATGTAAGGGTGACATTATATTTGTAAACTAAAACATATAACACCTAAACTTGTTAAGCCCAGCCCAAGATATAATTAAAAACAGTATTTTAAAAAATTAAAAAAAATACTTATCCATAGCCAATATTTTGGACTTATTTTTTAAGATCTAGGGGTAAAACTCTACCAGGAACTACTATCATTCTTCTTGGGACATTTTGGCTGTAAGCTAGTGTTATAAAACTTTTTAAATTTTCCTTAAGTTTACCCTTTTATTAGCCATTTTCCTCTTATAGTAAAAGCACAAAATCTTCCTATTTGAAATAAACAGGTTACAAAGGAGTTTGAAGTGTGATTTGCAATCAAACTATAAAATGCACTGGCATTTCGGACGGCTTTTACTGCACACGTTTGACAGACGACTGAAGGAGTAACGCCCACTCCCCGAAATCTAAATCAATTTCAGTCGAACGCCTTTCGCCTGCCATTGATTTATGGCCCACGTCCAAACGTCGTCTAAGTGGAAAAGCCGAACCGAAAAGAGGCGCAACTTTGCCGAATTATATTTCAATTCGGCAGCGAAAATGAAACAGAAACAGAGCGATACACAAAAGAGGGGCGTGGCCGGGGAAAAGATGTTAAAAACTTTTTGACAATTGACTTAAAAAGTTTCCTCAAGCTGGCAGAAATTGACTGCCTTTTGTATACAAATAGGCCGAAATCATCCAGGCCACACACACATATGCAAGGACATGGACAGGGGAGGGGAAACGGAAGAGCGGGAAAGGCGGGAAAGGCGGGAAAGGCCGGGGAAAATGGTGGCGCGGCCATGGAGCGGAAGTAAACACATAAAACGGAAATGAAAATTCAATTATTTCGTTACGATTGTTCAACTTTTTGTTGTTTTCAGTGTGGCACGGATGTGTGTGTGTGTGTGTTGGTGCTCCCGTTTCGTGTGGCAGGCGGAGGCCAAAAAAGTTTAAAATTAAGTTAACGTGCAACTCGCCTCGTGGGTCAGCACATGCAACTTTCGCCCGTTTTGGCCAAATTCAATTTTGGCTGGCACTTTTTTTTGGGGCATACGCCCGGACCGAAGCGAAAGGGCCGCACATTTAAATGCGATTTTTAACAGTCGCTTCACGCACAATTAGCCTGTCGAATCGATATTTGTTCGAAGCGATTCCTGAGTTTCGGTTTGGAATCCCAAATGCACTTAGTACAGTGTGGTTCGCGATGTTAAGTAAAGAGATTGCTCTCCACGGACTCATGGCCGCAGTGGCCCTCGTGACAGTTCTACATACTCGAAACAGACTGCAGCGGGACTTGGAGGACATGCGATGGCGTCTAACGATCCACGCTCTTACCATTCGGGATACCTACGGGAGTCCAGTGCCACTCCAAAAGTTTGCCGGCCAGGTGATGCTCATTGTGAACAT